GGCAATATGGATAAAACAGGTATTTTGCAAAATACCTAGGCATTATGCAAATTGCTGACCTATTTTAGGCAATGTAAATAAAACATATGATTTTCAATATTACTTTAAATATAACCTAAGTATTTTATAAAATACCTAGGCATTATGCAAAATGCCAATTTTTTTTTAGGCAAAGTACAAAATATTTTATTATATGTTATATTAAATTAAGATTCTTATAATTATTAAACATTATTACTCATATTACAGACAAAATTTAATTATTATTATTATTATATTATTATTTTATTTTTTATTGTTTATTATTATATTATAACTATTATATAAAAATTTTACTTAAATTATCATAATATTTACTTATTATAATATGTTGTAGAAAGATGATATTTTGAAGTGCACAAAAATATTAAATTAATTGTTATTTTTAAGACAAATACACTTTTTATTTTGACACTTGAACTTACAAACACATTTTAAAAATTATTGTGAATTGAACTTTTATCAACTAATTATACTGTTCATCAGATAAAAACTAGAATTAGCGGCCAAATTTTTAAAAAAAATTTGTAGTTTTTTATAAAAATATGACTTCATATAAATCCTACGCATAATTGCAACACAATAACGAGACACGAAAATGATGAGAAAAATGACGGTATTGTAATAAAGTTATTAGTTTGTTCAATATTGTACCTAAGAATTATTATTATAGTAGTAAAAGGATATTAATCTTTATCGCGTTAAATCGTGCACGCGCATTTATGATAAACGATAAGTGAAGTCGTTGGTAATATGTGATGTCCAATTTTGTTAGTTTTCACCATATTGTTTACTCCACGTTTAGCATTATACATTATACCTAAGCAAAGCTCGTATTATGTATATTGCCCAGTGATTTTTGACATTTTATATAATGCCTAGGCATTTTGCAAAATACCCGATTATCCATATTGCCGGTAACACACACACACACACATATATATATATATATAATGAGAGAATTCCAATGACGCTGAAAGGTAAATTTTATAGGAGTGTAGGGAGACTAACTGTGCTATATGGTTTGGAGTCTTACGCGGTTGACAAGAGAATATAACAGAATATGAGTGTTGGGGGAATGTGAATGCTTAGATAGATGAGTGCAGTGACAAAATAAGATAGAATAAGAAACAAATATATGAGAGATAGTATTGGTGTAGAGTCGATAGCGGACAAAATGAGAGAAAATAGATTAAGATGATTTGGTATGTGATGAGTGGGAGGAAATAAAAACAGTAAGATTGGTTATGAAAATTAACATTGAAGGGAAAAGAGGAAGAGAAAGACCTAAAAAAAAGATGATTGTATAAGATTGAGAATGACTTGAGAGCTGTTGGTGTGTGCGTAGGGAATGTAGAAAATCGAAACGAGTGGAGGCTTAGGGCAAGGGTGGCCAACTCCAAATAGTTAGAAAAAAAGTCGAAGGAAAAGAAAATATGTAAAACATATGTTATATAACGTTTATTATGAATATAAATAGAATATATTATTATAACGCTTTTAAATGTTAATAAATTATGTTAAAAATTTACATACTGCAGTTCGATCTGGCGAGTCTATCGAAATCGGAATAGGTTGCCACACTGATTCCAAGTCCATCTGTTTATGATAATATTCTGACTCATACATTCCAGTCAAAACCATTTGTGCTGACATGAACGTTCGACTTATGTTGGTAGTTTTAATTGAAATCTCACGATCTCGGTACAAATCACTTATGAATCCATGGTATAAACGTCGAAACAGTTTTCCTTTTTGGTACATGTGCAGTTTACCTATCTAATGGTTAACAATATTTAAGGCGACATTATAGCACATCATTCATAATGGGCTTTTGATATTCGTGTATAAAAATGATATAATTATGGTAGTTAATTTGTTATATGTTAAGACTTATGTTAAGGTTTAAATTCACTCTTCTTATGCAGAAAATAATTGGACTTTTATTATTCAAATATTGTGTTGGTCATGGTTGCTGTGTAAATTAAGTAAAGTAAATTCATTACATTTATGTTATGAGTGACGAGTACAGTAACTTATTACTTATTAAAAGTAACTAATCCAAAACTGTATATCATATGCCATATACTCTTACTATAGTGTATTCTGACTTCAAAGATATAAAATAAAAATATACGTTGTAATATTGTTTGATATTAGATATATAAAAACAGAAAAGCATTATCTGAATATGGGATCAGTACATTTGCCCAACATTTAATTGCCCGACACTACACTTGCCTGACAATCTCAAATTACTCGTATATTATAAATAAATATATAATAATATAATATATAATAAAGAAATAAGTAGAATTTGTACTAAATGTAACCTATAACAGACTGTACTGTACTGAAGACTGAACTATCAAACGTCGCGTCAAGAACGTCGTTTTATCTGTCTATCGGCTATCGTCTAACGATAGATTTGAAAATGAAAATCTTATCGCGAATATCGGTAAAATACGATTGATACTTAATACTTAGTACCTTTTCACATAGAGCGATATTATCCATGATAAAATATTCGTCTGATTTAGTTTTTTTTGAATTATTGTATGTTCATATTGTGTATTAATAAATAATGGGGTGCGCCCCGTATACGCTTCCTCGCAGTGCACCCTGGTAACAATTGATAAAATTTTATTTTGTCAATTGGCTAAAGTATACGGACCCTTGGTTGACGGACTGTGCTCCTAGCATCTCCCGCCTACTATGCAAGCGAACAAACGGCATACTAGTCAAAAAAGCCCTTCTAAGGGCTTCTTAACGAAGGATTTAATCCGAATAATGCAGTTGAATATGGAGGGCCTTAGTAAAGCTAAAGCTGATGTCTTATGTAGAATCTTAGACGATGAAAAGATAGACATTCTTGCTATCCAGGAAACACATACATGTGACCAAGACCAACTTATGAAAAGAGGAACAATCTCAGGGTATTCTATCACTGGCGCAACTTACCATAGTAAATATGGAACTGCTACTTATGTCAAAAACGATTTAAGATGGAACCACATTAAATCCTCAGACGATAATAACATATTTTCTATAGTTATCCAGATAGGGAACCTATATGTAAATAATATTTACAAGCCTCCGGCTACTGATTGGCCCACTCCTGCTCTTAGTACGATCAAATACCCAGCAATATATATTGGCGACTTTAATAGTCACCATACAAGCTGGGGTTATAGAGTTAATAACACCTGCGGAGACAATCTAGTAGCGTGGAGCGAAGCTGAAGGAGTAAAGTTAGTCCACGACGCGAAACAAAAAGGTACTTTCCACTCTGCAAGATGGAACAGAGCGTATAACCCAGACTTGTGCTTTATATCAACGGAAAGAAATGGTGCTTCCCTACCAACTCAGAGAAGAGTCTTAGGAGACTTTCCTAATAGTCAACATAGGCCTGTAGTCATAGAGGTAGGATACCAAATCCAATCAAT